ATAGATAGATAGATAGATAGATAGATAGATAGATAGATAGATAGATAAGATAAGATAAGCTGGACAATGGGTGCATTGTTGATCTCATAAATGTGATTTTATTTCCCCAGGAACTCTAAGATCACAGAAAATCAAAACAATACATATGCACTGTTTGTTTAGTTGTCTCCGGAAGATGTCATCAGTAATAACTAATTAATTTGCAGCGTACTTAGTACACTAATCTAATCATGTTTTGTTTGTTCGCACAAGCCAGAAGCATTGAAAAGTGTTTTTGTTTAAGACAAAGAAGCTTAAATGCCTTTTTTTCTCAGGGGTCATCTTTGTTGTGTGACTGACAACTCATTAATCAACCACTTATTGTTGAGAAAACCTTTTTCCTAGTCTTTTTTTAAGTGAGTGTGTTCTTTTTTCCACTGAATTTCTGAACAGGTGAGATGTGAAAAGGATATCTGTATGCGGCACACAGAAGCAAAGACTTGAAAGACAAACGGGGCTGTGAACAGGATTTACTGCAGAAGGTTGAGACAGCATTTTCGGGTTTTTTTTAAGACATTACACAAGTGAGTCTCTCCACATTGATTAATATTTAATTTTTCAATTACAAGTTTGCTATAAACAGAATTTACAATTAAATTTGACGTTTGGGAGTCAAATTAATGACACACAGCTGTTACTTCTTCCTCTACTTCATACCATTATATCAAAAGCTGTTAGACAACACACAAAGCCCATCATTTTTGATAGCTTTTCCAAGTTGATCTACATTGATTTCAGGTTGGACAGTGTAAAGCAATTTTTCCCACAATACTCAGTTCTTGACAGTGAAAGACCACAGTCTTCTACAAAGATATAGTTTACTTGTTGCCACACCAAGCAGTCAGCATCTTTGTTTATTGTTGTGTTGTGCTTCAAGTTGTTAATTATGTGACATTTAACAGAATCAGTACCACTTCCAGAGAAATGGGAATTAACACCTATTAGATGTTGTGTACATCAGATTTAAGAACATTGCCTTTACACTTTAGCTGGGTAAATAACATCAGGAGTCTTTGGGCTTTCACAGAACTCTCCCAGGCTGGTGGTTTGGTGAACTTAAGGATTCATTTAGAAAAGTTCTTAGAAACTTAGAAAATTCATGAAGATTTTGTTGACAGTTCAATAAAAAAAAGATGTATTATATATTTATCTATAACTGTATTATATATGTATATGTTGTATTATGAAATAAAATTCCTCATTTAATCTTTAAAATGCATTTTTTTGCATGTAGCATAACAATGAACTTCCATTCACCAGATATCCACATGTGGACATGCAAAAATGTCCACATAGATGTATACATGCTACTTCAGAGTTATATTTCTGGAGATTCAATAAACTTTTTTCTCGCTTTGGGAGAAGTGGTGCAGGCATCATTATAAAGTCATGCTATTTCTCTCTTTGAACAGCAAACCAAGGGGTCAACATCCCTTCATGCACCCAGATACCATTAAATATTTTCAAAGACAAATCTGTCTCAACTCTGAGTCAACTGTAAAAATGTGGTCCAATGATGCTTGTCACATTTGAAGAGAAGTGGTTTCAGCCCTAACCATAACACATTTCTACACTTTCCAAAAAATATTTATTTTCTGATGCGAACCAGAAAATGGAAATTATTCATATTTACCGAGGCAACTAGCACAGTGTCATCATGTCTGACTGATTCTTTTCCTTAAGTGGAATGAGGTGAAAAATTCTGTTAGTCTCACATGTTTTTTTTCATCTTTCAAACCAACACACATTCGTTTACAAGGTGAAAAGCTGCACTTTTGTTTGTGCAATCGATCCCAATGCATCAAATTAATGTTTTTGCAATCAGGAGCACATGGACAGAAATAAGTGGATGCTATAACCTTCAGAGGAAAATACAACATAATCCATTGTAATAAACCATCAACTCTAGCTGCTTAATGAGAATTTGTTAGAATGTAGTGAAGCCAGAAATGTGATCTAGTACAAAAAAAATGGGGAGGAATGGAAGTTTAAAGGTAGAACAGATCCAAAATAGTACAGCGTACCAAGTAAAGATTCAATCTGAACAGTGTGTGAAGCTCTTCAGCAGGAGAAAACTGATGCTCAGTTGAAGACTGCCTTTACTCCAAACCAGATAATGAAGTAGAAGAGAACTGTTTGTTTTTAAGACATGTATTTATATTCACCCTATAATACACATACCATCTGTGCTGGTGTGATTTCATAGCTCGTTTTTTCTGAAACTTGTCTCTCATTTGGCTAATCTTCCAGTGAATCCTCTGAGAGGCCACAGCCTTTCACTGAGCCATAGCATACATGTGTGAGAGAGAGCCATGACCCAGGCTTTCCCTGAGCCTGAATGTGTCGTTAGTGCATGTCATTAAAAGATTACACAGAAATAAACCCTTCATAAAGATTCTCACACAGACGCTCACAGGAGGAGAGAAAGAAGAGGTGAGTCCAATGATTACAGAGTGTAATGTGTGAAAGGGCTTCCGACATCAGCGTATGACAGCTTCAATTTTGGAGTGGTCCCCTCATCTGCTTGCGAGCTGTTTCCTGAGCTGCATATGACTGCTGCCATGAGTCTCCCATGTGAGGCTTTCCAGAGCCACTCTAACTCCACCCTGATCCGCCGTAGTTACACAAATTATTTTAAACCAGGTCTGAAGCGGGGTATCAGGTGCGGTGCCAGCAGTGTCCTTATAGCCATCTGACAGTTGCAATCATCAGCACTTCTGCAAAGCACAAATCTCATCATTTGTGACTATCCTCTGGAAATCCAGATGATGGTGAGATTACACAGTGTGTGTTCTGGTTAGTGGTAGTGATGAAATAGCCATTGCTAACAACAGATGCCTGAGCAGATGTTACAGCCGGCTAAAGCATGAGATAAGCTAACCTATTTTGATACATCACCCGAAGGATGATGATTACAGGAAGGTGATGGATTGAGGGCTGAATGGTGGTTTCAAGTATAGTTCCATAACAATCAAACAACCAATTGAGTGTAAAAGGTTAAACAGATGCCATAATGAATTAGGGGAGGCAATTCTCCATTTATTGAGATACGTTAGTCAGGCTACCCAAAGGCCTTAAAAGCAGATTGAGTGATGAAATTGATTTTTAAACATTGGCTGGAGAAATCAAGACAATACAGAACTCCTTTAACTTCTATTGGAAGGGAAAATAACAGGATATTTTCTAAGATAGTTTGTTGACAGCTGGAAGCGTCCACATCCCACTGGCATTAACAGGGATGGGCTTTGTTTCAAGCGTGGCAATGTAGCTCCTCCACTTCATTGGATTCTGAGAAACCCTGGCGCTACTCATATGCCTTTCAGAAACAGACATGAACATGAAACAGCCAAATACAAGACACACTTGACCAGTTTCACACCATTTATTTATTTATTTGTTGCTTCATTATCCTCCCTTTGTAATAATTTGTTAATTTTATTCTTTGGTCACACATGTTTAGTCTATGCTGTTGTGATTTCATTTGTCTAACCATCATCATTTTCCACCAGGTTTGATCAAAGTCAACATCAATGATTATTTCTTTTTCAGCATTGTTCTGCCAAAATTATTTTTTGCTGTTGTGACCCAGAAATCAGGTGAAACAGCAATAAAATAGCCATAGTAACTTTTTTTGTTTTATGTCGGCACTTTGAGATTGTTCTGCTGTGTGATCCAAGGTAAAATAAATCAATAAAAACAAATAGGTCATTATCTAATTGATATTTGTCAAAGACAGAAAATTATAATAGAATAAAAATGATTATAAGCTCTGGTAGACACATCCTACTATTGAACTATTTAAAAACAACATAAACCTCACACTGAAGTCATGAATTGAATAATTATGTGAAAAGAAAAAGCCTATATGGATTGCTCCCAAACATTAAGCATGAGTGGCTCATCGTGCAAAACTCCTCCAGTTTAGTTCCACTGAGCCTGGCACCCAAGC